GTTGAGGCAAGCTAGTGCAGTGTAGTGGTTTAGGAGTGTAATTCTAGTGGTGTCCAGTTCAGATCATACCACCACAGTCAAAAACTCCCTGGGTAGTCTTCAGTAAGCCTCTGTTCTCTTACCTTCAGTGGTGATAATAATATTGGTCTACCTTATCAGGTTGGTATAAGGGTAAAAAGAATGTGTGTGAAGCACTTGGAAAACAGAGAAGATAATATATTTTGCATGTTGTTGCTATTTTATTAACTGAGCATACTCTCTTAAGCACATGGGTGCATCAAATTTTGCTGACAAAACCCTCCCCTCCTTCCTGGCATTCCTTAGGTTTTAAGATCAAGATTTTCTAGTTTCTGGGATTGTCAATATGGTTGCCTTTTCTTCCCTCTATATTTCTGTTGGCACAGGGATCTGACTAGCATAAATCAGTGTCCATCTCTTCCTTACCTCGGTCCCGCCAATTCACATTTTAGCTGTTATGCAAAAGGAATCCAAAGTCCAAGCAAGCCATTATCTTTCCCTTTAGAGATGTTTGCCTTTGCTGGCATGGGCCAGAAAGAATTTTCTTACATGCTGGAGTTACATTCATCCAGCACCTAGGAAGCAGTGGCATTTCTCTGTCAAGTTCACCATTGGAGTGGCAAAGAGATGGATGTGGAGAACCTGATGTGAAGCAGAGGGGTGCAACAGCCCTCCTAACATCAGTCTTAATTAGACTCACCGTGTTCCCCCAACACATTTCTTCTTTCTGGACTGATAAGTCTTTAAAGGCAATGTGATAGGCAGTAATTCATCCAGTTTCCTTTCCTAACATGGAGTTTCAGTGACCAGGAAGCAACTCACATACTGATGTATTTATTTGTCTGCTTCAAATAAATAAATCCATCCATCAATGGCACAAGAGTCTTACCAGGAAAGAAAGATGGCAATCCCAGTAGTTGGGAGCTTAGAGGTGATGTAGACTCACTGACCCTAGTGTTTGTGAGTGAAGAAGATCAGGGTAGGACAACTGTTAAGTTGTAAACTTCTTGGGGCAGAGGCTTCCCTTCTTTACTACAGTTACTTTGTAAGGCATGACGTACATTGATGGTGATATATTATTGATTGCCTGTATTGGCAAGTAGCTGTTTCTGCCAGGAGGCACTTAGAGGAACATACATCAATTAAAACATAAAACCAATAAATCAGCAAAACTTAAAATCATAAAAACATGACAATAACCATAAAACCAGCAAGCAAAGAAACAAAAGCATTGCTCCTCTTGTTAATAGTTATTGTTAGTTTATTTATTAGTTCAGGTTAAGACATCAGACCAATTTACACATTCAGTAGGATCAAGCAGTAAACCTTTTTCCTGTTCAGACTGCAGATAAGTAGCTAGATACCCTAACAGGAAAATTAAAACTTGCATGTAGAAAACCAGTTTGTCAGGCTGAAAGATTTACTGTAGCCTTCTTTCTTCCTGCCATGCTATTTTTCTCTGAGTAGGGCAGAGATTTTTGGTTTTAGAATGTGGAATACCCTCACCCATACACATGCATGCACCTCATTGTTGCCAAGAAGTGGTACATGGATGCAACATCCAAGTGTTCACTGGCCTCTAAGTTACAGTGCAGGAATAGCGTCAATACATTAAACTAGCCCTCTGTATCGGCATGGGACGCTGTTCTGCAGAGAATGGAGCTGGGGATCCAGCAGGGGCGCTGTACTGCAAGCGGTGGTACCCGAAGTGAGTCTCCTCACAGGGAGCCCTGATTATGAGTCCAGGATACTCTAAAGTGCAGTGCAGAGGATGTAGAGCAGGATGGATCGGAGGTCGGGAGAAGGATGTTAAAGGGGGGAGGGTGACATTAAGCAGGGTTTGCCCCTCCCGCTGTGTCGTGATGATTCCCTCCTCCTTTTTTCTTCTAATCCTCAGTGGCACCAAATTTGAAATTCCTGCTGAGACTCATAAATGTAAAACAGACGCCGAGCTCAGTGCAAGTCTCCTTGGCTGTGCAAAGAGAAATCCCGGCTCTAAAGCCCTACAAGTGGAAGGAGCTTGAAGGGTGTGACTGGGGAGCAGAAGGACCCCTCCAAAAGCGGCAGGCGGGCGGTCCCGGGAGGAGGGAAGAGAGAAAGGAAACTGGGCACGTAGGCAGGACTCCTGGCTTCTTCACTGTCTATAGTCCTTGCGAGGCCTTCCCCTCTTTTCTGCTCCTTGGAGCTCCAAGAATCCACGTTTTTTAGCATGTTTTCCTGCCCAGCCCTCTTCTTCGCCATTCAGGCACGCATTTCTCTCTCTCTCTCTCCCCCTCCCCCCCCCCGCATCTTCTGCTTCTGGTCTACAGTCTTTCGTACATTTAGTTCTATCTGTCTATTTTTATCTTGCCCACCCAATTCTCTCAACCCTTCTATTCAGCTTCCCCTTCTCTCTCTGTCTCCTTTCATTTTCTTCTATCTACTCCCGCAGTCCCCATTCCTTGTTTTTCTGTGTGCTCATGCTGAGATCTTTTCTTTCTATTTTCCTTTCTTCGTTCCCTGACCAGTGTTCTCTCTCCCTCTCTCGCCGTCCCTGACAGTCCATCTCTGCCCAGTCCAACCGCTACCTTTTCCTCGCCATCCATCCTGGCTCCTTTCTGTATTCTCCTGTTGAACTCTATCCATGCATCCATTCATCCATCCAGTTGTTCCTCGGCCTTTCTCTGTTCCTGGCGCTCCATCCATCCGCCCCGCTCCGCTCCTCTGCTGCCGCCCGGCTGCATCTTCCTCCTCCTCCTCCTGCCGGCCCACGCAGCCACCCAGCCAGCCTGCGTCTCCCCTCCCTCTCCTTCTGGTCCCCGGCCGGCCCGTGCGCTGCCTGGGGTGCGCGCCTCCGCCGCCTGCGATGCAGCCACTCGCTGCTGCCAACCTCTCCCCCGGCCCCCTCCCTGCCGAATGCAGCTCGCGCACACACACTCACGCGCGCACACTCTCCCCCACACTCTCCCATCCACACTCGGCGCCGGGAGGCAGGGAGGGAGCGCGGCACAGGCAGGCGGGCGAGCCGAGAGAGCGATGAGGATCGGCGCCGCCGGGGGCAACGGGAGCCCTCTTGCCCACCACGCACGGGGGACAGTCCGCCGCCCCCCCGTCCGAACACCCTCTAGCCCACACCGGGGCTTGCGGTTGCTCCGCGCCTGCTGCTGGCTGCTTCCCGGACAGATCCAGGACCTGGGGGGTAAGAGCACCACGATCACCCCCTGCCCCACAACCTAAATCACCCCTTACACCCCATGGTTTGCACCTCTCTCCGCATTCCTGTCTCAGATTTGACCCTTTACCCCGTGGGAGTACTACCATCCCACGGATCACCTCTCTCCCCAAATTTGCTTCATCCTCCACGGATTTGCCCTTTCCAGCACCTAACTTCTCTGTTCTCCCCATTCTCTCCATCCCCTCTGCCTCCTGCCAGAGATTTGCTCTGCCCCTTTCTTAATTCCTGTCCAATTCTCCCCAGGTTTCCCAGACATTTTGGAGGGTGGATGGGTGTTGTTCTCTTTTTATTCCAGTTTTAAAAATCTTTTGGGGGGTACATTTTGCTCTCTGCCCCTCCCCCATCATAGATAGGATTTGAGGGTTAGAGAGTCCAAGTGACAATGGGTTAATGGGAAACTTTGTTTGGACCCCTGATGGTGTTTCCTGGCAAGTATTCTCTCCAATCTCCACACCCTGTTCTCTGGGGCTTTTTGCCTACCCACAGAGAAAGACACATCCTCCTATCCTAGGCACCCTGAAACAAAATGCATGCTGTTGGCTTTGCCAAACTCCTTCTTGGTAAAACCTCTGCACTTGGACTCAAAATAATTAACTGTTGTTATAGGCTTCCTTAAATGTGCCTTTTGATTCCTCTCCTAGTAGGAAACAAACCCTTCTGGCTCATCCAGGATCCCAACCACCAGCTTGCTCAGACTCAGTTTAGCTGGGGAAAGATTACTTAGGAGTTGATTCCAAGCTACTCTGTTCTTACAGATTTTTAACTCTCATTCATAGGCATCTTAGATCCCACCACTCTGTCCAGCCTTTAAATCCTTGTTTCCTCCCCATAATGGAGAAGGGTTTCTGGATCACAGGTTGTGTTGCCTGGTCCTAATAAACTGCATTTCTCATACAATATTTCTGGTTTTCAGCTTCAAAATTTGTCTCCTTTATAACTTCCGAACTGCTGCATTCACTGTAAAAATCACACCCTTACTTGCACGCTGTTGTTTCTCTCTCATAGTTTCTCTCTCTGTCTCTCCCCCCCCCCCCGCCTCTGTCATTCTCCTTTTCCCATTCCCACAGCAATGGCTAATCTGCCCCTGTAAAAGTGGCCATATCAACAGAGCTCCCTTTCTCTTCCCCCGCTCCCACTGTATCCTCCCATCCACGTTCTCTCCCACTGGGAAGAAAGAAGCAGAGGAGAAAGGACAGCAGATGAATACAGCAATACATTGCAGATTTCCAAAGAGGAGTTTCCACTCTCACTCACATTGCACAGAGCCACATGGACTAATTCATCTGGCACCAGAGGAACCATGGAAAGCATCACTCTTATCTGCATTACCTTCCTTTGACCTCTGCCCACAACTCCTACAGTTTAGTACAGCATTGGCACCGTGGTATTGTAGCCTGAATGTAAAGCTGGGCATTGTTTGGTTGGGAGACCTAACAGTTAACAGTTAGTCTTGTTAACACCCAGTAAAAAGAACGTGGATATTGTTGTGCTGGAGTAGGAACAAACACACCCTCCCTTCTTGGCAGAAAATTTGGGTGTACCTGAATGTTGATGTCTGAGACAGAACTCGGCTGGATGGCCAAGCCCCTGCTGGTCCCCTCTGACCCCCAGACTCTTGATCATAATTGAGGAAAGTAATAGCCAGCAGAAATCTTTCAGGCACCTCTCTTTACCAAAAGTCTTTTCTAGGACCATCTTTGCAGCATCGTTGAGATTGAATGGTGACAGATTTTAGCAAAGATTCTCTTCTCTACTAACTCCATACAGTATGGCTGCAGGAGTGGCAGCATGGCTGCCTTTTGCTCGGGCGGCAGCTGTGGGCTGGCTCCCACTGGCCAAGAAGCCTATGCCCAAACCTCCCCCTGACAAGAAACGCCGCAGTGATGAGATCTTGGTGGTCAATGTCAGTGGGAAACGCTTCCAGACTTGGAAGAATACCCTGGATCGTTACCCAGATACCCTGTTAGGCAGCTCAGAGAAAGAATTCTTCTATGATGAAGACAGCAAGGAGTACTTCTTTGACCGTGACCCAGAGATGTTCCGTCATGTCCTCAACTTCTACCGCACGGGTAGACTCCATTACCCACGCCAAGAGTGTATACAGGCCTTTGATGAAGAGTTGTCATTTTATGGCATCATTCCTGAGCTGATTGGTGACTGCTGCTTGGAGGAATACCGTGACCGCAAGAAGGAGAATGCTGAGCGCCTTGCTGAGGATGAAGAAGCTGAGATAGCCACTGACACCACCTTGCCTCCAGACAGCACATTCCGTCAGCGGCTCTGGCGAGCATTTGAGAACCCCCACACCAGCACCATGGCTTTGGTTTTCTACTATGTGACTGGGTTCTTCATCGCTGTGTCTGTCATTGCCAATGTGGTGGAGACAATCCCATGCCAGGCCCCTCCAGGCAGGAAGAGAAACCAGCCTTGTGGAGAACGTTTCCCCAATGCTTTCTTCTGCATGGACACTGCCTGCGTCCTCATCTTCACCTTTGAGTATCTTATGCGGCTCTTTGCTGCCCCAAGTCGATTCAAGTTCATGAAGAGTGTCATGAGCATCATTGATGTGGTAGCCATCATGCCCTATTACATCGGGCTGGTGATGCCTGAAAATGAAAATGTTAGTGGGGCTTTTGTGACACTGAGGGTCTTCCGGGTCTTCCGCATCTTCAAGTTCTCACGTCACTCACAGGGGCTGAGGATCCTGGGCTATACCCTCAAAAGCTGTGCCTCAGAACTGGGCTTCCTCCTCTTCTCGCTCACCATGGCCATCATCATTTTTGCCACTGTCATGTTCTATGCTGAGAAGGGCACTGCAAAGACCAACTTCACCAGCATCCCTGCTGCCTTCTGGTACACAATTGTCACCATGACCACACTTGGGTGAGTTATGCACATTCATGACATGATCTCAAGAAGCTTGGCCTCCCTTTCTCACTCTACATTCTCACTTCCAGAGGCCTCCTCCAGCCAGGTTTCCTCAGAAGGGCCAGATTTCTAGATTCTCTACTCCATCTTGCTTATTGGCATTCTAGTTTCCTCTCTTCCAAAGCATGCTGGCTCAGACTGGTTCCAGATAATGGGCAATGGTATTTAAGGGTGTTGCTGTTATAGGGATGTTCATGCTTTGTGTTTCATGAGTCAACAGATCTTCTCTGTTTCCATACTCAATATCACCTGCAGCTACCTTGGATGGAGGTGGAGAAGTTCTTGCCTTCCAGATGCTGTTGGTCTCCAATTCTCTCAGCCATAGCCAGCCTGGCCAATGATAATGCATGATGGGAGTTGTAGTCTAAGAGCATCTGTAGGGCTACACATTTCCTACCACTGAACCAGGAGAGGAATAAGAACTGAGCTCATGCCTGTTCCTACATTGAGAAAGCAGGGTCATGTTCAGCAGGAGTAGGGTACTCTTTCTTTCTGTGCCCTTTGACCTTAAAGTCAAGTCTCCTGCAAACTGGCCCTTTTAACTATGTCTCAGACATCAAACACCCTTAAAATGAATGGCTGCAGAGAGGCACCGTCAAATGGGGAAGAGGGAATATGCCCCCTCACAGCAGGATGGTTCAGATGCCTAGGTGACATTTTCTAGAAGGGAGCACTGCAAAAGCTGCCTTGGGCCTTGGGACAAGGACAGCCTCAAAGCCACCCCAAAGGGAGGCATCATTGACTGAGGTCAGGCCTGTTGGAGCCAAATGAACAGGAGTTGCAAACAGAAATTGGAATGGGGCAGGGGGAAAGGAAAAATTAGGGTTTTAGGAAAGAAATAGGCAGTTCTTTCCCAGAAACAGAAATACCTTTTTGTGTCTTCTATAGGTAGAACCTTTTTCTACTCTTCCCAAGATAACATTTCCTCCCGTGCACTGTTCAGATCTCCTTGCAAGGTGTTCTGATGAGCTTTAGACTGCAAGCATTTGTTACATTAATTTGTAATCCTGATATCCCCTGTTCTAATTTCACTCTGAATTGCAATACATTCATTTTAGGATTACATCTTGCTGCTAAAAATCAAACACTGATGTGTGTGCAGGCACGCACACACACATCTACTGGAATTACGGTGTTTCTGAATGTTGGCTGCCTCCAGGGATTTGCTTTCCTGGGCCAATTGACTGCTGCTTTTTTGTCTGGACTCCACTGGATATTATCTATGACATCAGAACAAGGTCAGAAAATCTGGTGGCTCATCAGATTTCTGAATGTTTCAGGGCTCCCCACTCCCACATTCACCCATGAGGTTACTGTAAGGCATTACCACCCTCGTCGTATTTACACGTGGCATCTTGTAGTCTATCATAAGCAAAAGTCCTTACCCCAAAGAGTTTACAATATAGATGTGAACAGTTTAAGATCATAAAAGAAAGAGGTGAGTAAAGGGCAAGATTGACAAGGGATGGCTGTAAGCAAATGCAGGGCTAGAGGAGATATTCTTTGGGCTGTATTCTTTGGGCTGTCTGGAGTGTTAGTTTTACAGTCAGTGTTTTTGTAGGGTCTGCAAGAAACCTTGGGCTGTGCAATCCAAGAATATTAACAAAGAGCCTTCATAGTCCTCTTATATTAATTAATCATTATTTGTGGCATCTATTTCTACAGGGCCTGCAAGTGAATTTCTGGATGTTTTATTGTTACTGGAAAATTCACTGAATGTGAGTTCAGTGTTGAATCAAAGTTGGCACGATTGAAAACACATCAGCTTTCATCTGGGAGGGGATACAAAAGAGCACTGAGACTGAGGGAGGCCTGGAGCTTTATTTCTAGTTCTTCCTTTATAGAAACTCAAGGGAGGTATACGGGGGTGGGGGGGGGGTGTTGCATAGTTATTGTTAAACCAGTTATTGTTAAACCAGCCCTGTGAGGTAGGCCACCACATTGGGCTTCATGGCAAACTGTGGTATAATCTCAGGTTTCCACAATCTGGGACCAACAGTGTAAACCTAACCTGATGCTTTCCAGATGTTTTACACTTCAATTCCCATTAGCTCCAACTAGCCTGGCCAGGAATCCTAGGAGTTGTGTTGTGTTGTGTTGTGTTCAAGTCACTACCAGGTTGGAGAATGCTGCTCTAACCATTATACACCATACTGGCTTGAGAGAGTCTGAGTTCTATTTCAGAGGAGGAATGATGGTATGGAAATGGGGACAGTTCCTGCTAAAAAGAAAGCTACAACGCCTGCTTCTAATAGGGCAGCTTATGCTCAAACTGGGTGTTTCTAGAGAGTGTTATTGTAGAATTGCACTGCTTCATTCATGAAATGTTATGGAAAGTCCCTTATGACTTCTTCAGTTTGTAGCTTTCTTTGGTTTCTGAGTGCTTCTTCAATTATTTTTTTCTTATCAGGAAAAAAACCCAGAAAGCTATTAAACCAGTGGGGCCCCATGTTCCAAATTGCCCTCTGCTCCTCTAAGTCACCCCCCTGATCCCTCATGAGGTTATGTGTGCCAGCTCTGCCTATGGGCATGAGGCCCAGTCCCTGGTGCAAATGGCATGATGGAACCAAGGGCTTAAGGACCACAACATGGGAAGGCTTGTAACATTGCATTGTAGCCAGCCTGTGCTTTTGTACAAGGGGCAATTGGGGAGCCCATATGTGAAGCTCTGTGTGTGTGCATGTGCATGGGGTGGTGGTGGGTCTTGGGCTGTGCTTGAGCCCTCAAGGAGCTTCCTAGGTTGATCAGGCCTGCTTCCAGATCTTGATGGACTGCTGCTCACTTACCCATATCACATAAAGGTGTGGGTCCATTTCATTCTTTGCTGCCCTCAAAGCACCGTGCTTTCTACCACCACTTTGTTCTGCTGCTTATTGCCTAACAATGCCCAAACTAGTAGCAATCACTTTGCCCCTGTATTGTCTGCCCTATCATGTCTCCATCTTTAGTATGTAACCCCTTATTTATGCATGGGTATATGTATGTACCTTGTCTGTGTATGGCAGAGGTGGGAAACATGTGGCACTCCAGGTGTTTCTGGACTCCTGTTTCTCTCAGACCTAGGCAGTATAGCCACAGGTGAAGGAAGGAAGATGGAAGTGCAGTCCAGCAAAGGCTGGATGCCACACATTTTTCATCTCTGCTGTGGTATGAAGCTCCTTTGTCCTCCCCCTGCTGTTTTTGAGCATCAAAATAGCAACCGCGTAACCTCCTCTTTGTCTCATTTCCCCCACTGCTCAAAGGCTGCTTTATACTGAGGTAGATGCTTAGTCCATCTAGCCTAGTTGTGTCAACACTGACTGACAGCAATGACTCTTCAGAGTTTCAGGCAAGACTTTTTCTGACCAGCTGCAGATGCTGGGCGTTGAGCTGGGACCTCCTGCATACCACCAAGCTAAAGTTTCTCCCAGAGGGCAGTTAGGAGGGAAAAGATATGCTGAAGAGACTCAAGAGAATTAGACCAAGTGTTTTGAGACCAACTTCAGGCATTCATGTCTATAGCAATCCTAGGTGGTAGTTCTTTTAAGAGAGGAGGCCTGTCATGCAAACTTCCCTGAAAGCTACTTGCACTGACATGGTCTATATTCCAATATGCATGTGAGTATTCAGTGGCAGAAAGGAAAAAAATACTTTGTGCTCGGGAACACCTTTAGTGTATGCCAGGAAAAGGTCCTGCTATTTGAAACAGATACATGGTCTATGCTATAGTGCACCCTAATTCAGAATTTCCCTGCAAGTAGGAGGGCAAGGTCTGGATTTAGCAAAGTACCAGCTGGCCTTTTTGTTTTTTTGTTTTTTTTTTCTGCCCTGTCTCTGAGTGATGGATGGATGAAAGAATGAATGATCCGTTTCTCAGGTCACTAGAGAAATGGGAGGGGACTATTTATTGGAACTCCTGATCCAGAGTAAGACTGAGAGCCTGAATGATGAGTGATCTGAGGGAACCTTTGGGAGAGGTGACTTCCAATCTTCCATACCCCAGTGAGGAGAGTGTAATTCAGTGAAGTAGTAGGACAGACATAAATACTATAGGTCTATAGGGTAGGAGAAACTGTGGCAGACACTTTTTTGCTGCTATCAGGTGAACCAGCATTGCTCAAGGGTGGTATTATCAGCAGATTTCAAATAATTGAAGGGAATGTGATCCCTCAACAGCTGGAACAGAGCCAGACTTGGTTTGGGGTACAGTGGCACTGAAAGGAGGGAATAATTCAGAAATGTGACTGACGGCCAGGGCTATAGATCAGGATTGATGGGCATCCACAGAAGAGAAGGAGGAGGAGAAGATGGCAGACAAACAGGTGGTGACTGGTTAGGACAAAAAGAGGAATCATCTTTCTTTTACACATTGCCTTGTCCAAACTTAATGAGAACCCACTGGTTGCTATAACATTTCTCTAGTGTCAGCAGCTGAGCTAGCAAGAACTCCTGGTTTCCCCACCACCACTGCTCACTCTTCTCCACCCCGGCACTTGCTGGGCCTCTGCTGAGAATGACAATCCCCAATAAACCCAAGCCACCATTCCTGATTCCTTCACATGGCTGGGGTTTTGGACCCAGGAGGAGTCCTGCTTCCTACCCCATCTCCACTCTCTTCTCCTGAAATCCAGCAGTTCCCATTATTGGGAAGCTTAATTATATGCCTTGTTCCCATCCGCTCAATTAAGTTTTAATAACTCGCCTGTGCATGTGCCAGGGAGACACCCGCTGTCAGCACCCCCTCACACAGTTCCCAGCATTGATGAGCTGCCCATGCAAATACACCCAGAAGCACATTAATGAACAGCAGCTCCTGCCTCTGTTGATGTTTTCTTTTCCACATAAATGGACGTAAAGGTGTCCTAGCCATTTCCCCCATGGAACTGGGCCAGAAAGGCAGGTGTCCTGGGCTTCCTATTCAGCATAAGCATCCCTCTCTAGCCAGAATAAACTTTCTCTTGTTCCTCTCTAAAATC